TGGCATCCAAAAATATGGCAGATCTGATTTGTTTTCAAATTCAATACGCGATTCTTTAGTGGATCAAAATTCAAGTAATGCCTCTGCCAATCCTCAAGGCTCTTCTCGGGCATCACCAATTTCAGATTCAAAGGGATCAACTGTCCAACTGACAGTATGTGAATCAAGATCTTGAAAGTAATCAGAGGACCGCTCTACGAGTTAGGTAGGATGCCTTATAATTGTATCTTTGACTCATCAAAAGTAATATTCCAACCTTCCGAAAACAAATCTAATTTAGAAAATGCAACTATTCTGCTTTGTTCTGCTTTCTGTCTCCAATATAAAAGCTTTGATCCAAACGCTGATATCTTTTCTCTGGCTGAAATTATGTTCCTGTCTTTTCCTTGCAATTCATTGTTCAATGCATTCATATACTCAAAAATATCAACTAAATATGTGAGATGTACAACCCAAGAGGTGTTTGTAAACTTATCTGAGAGAACATGCTTTCGATAGGATAAAATATATTCATCAAATAGTTGAACCAACATACAAACAACTAAAATATGGTTTATAAATGAATAGCATAGATTTAAAATAGAACTATTGAAATAAATTAAACAACTACCTACATCGACTTAAACAAAGCAAAAACACAAGTCAAAAAATATGGTTCAGGCAGGTAATTGACAACTGTTTAACCACTTGGCAACGCCTTAGCAACCAAATTGCTTAGAGTTCAACATGGCGTGACGTCTCCTAAAACGCGTCTATTACATTGGCTAGATGCATTGTTGCCAGAAGAAAAATTTCTGTGGTGGCAAGGAGCGCGTTTTCAATGTAACTTTATTTATGTCTGTTGAGTCCTCATTACCTCCAAGAATTTCATTTTACCCCACTTGCGGTAATTTGCCCCGGTTCGCCGACCTTCACTTTAGAGTTCATCTGATTCCTGTTTGAGGCAAACAGTGATTCATAATACTTGGTATCTCGCATGCATAACGCCAGTGCGAAAAACTGAATCGCATTCGCATGAACTAGATGCATAACATCCAAGAGTATTGACCGCTACTTTGCTGAAATGTTTAGAAGAGCTAATCTTACCCCGAATCAATAGAGGCGTGTCGACAAAATGAATCCGTGGCAGTTCGCATATAGAAAAAGAATGGGAACAGATTATGCCATTGCCTGCGTTACCCACGAAATCAATCAACGTTTTCATAAGGACAGATGCATCGGGAGGTCAACTTTTCTCGACCCTTGTTCAGTATTCAACACTGTCCGAAGCGACGCCCTTCTGAGTAAGTTAAACTACTTAGGCGTCCACGAACTAATCATTCACTGGTTAGCTGATTACCTTTCGCTTCGACGCTAATTCGTGAAACTGAATGGCATGAAATCCGAAGCACTGGAAAACAATCTTCGCGCTGTTCTCTCACTATTTACTTTTCACCAACGACCGCACTGTCAGGGTCCAATTCAGGTGTGTTAAGTACGCAGGCGACACTGTCGTATTAGGACATCTCGGGTCGGTAGAGAACCGGTTGGCCTATGAGCGTTTATTATTGTGTAACTTTCTGTCTGATGAGCTGGAGCTCAACTCTTCCAAAACACACGAATGAATATGTGCTATGCGAAACACTAAAAGCCAGACATTCTTCGACTTTTCTTAACGTGTCCAAAGTATTACAGGGTGAAGTCTTACAGCCCCAAAGGTATATAAATACATAGAACTCACCTTATTCAATCTTCTGCTGACATGAACATGTATTCACCTTGGTGAGTCGCTGTTATCTGACTGCATCTTGTATTAGATTCAGGATTTTACACGCACCGAAATACGCCGTAGAAAGATTTTTCGAAAATCGACCGTACTTTAACTCTGTGTATCTAATGCGCTGTCATTGTATTCCCTAGTCTTCTTTCGTCCAACTTATGATGATTCGCAGGTATTTAAAAACGGCCTGCAGAGTAAGCGGCCCCCAGTTTAATGACTAGCAAAGTGCAGTCACACACAGCTTCAAATGGCAAAAGACATCCTTAACAACACTTTACATCCTCTACATTTCCGCATCTCTGAATGATCGACCCGAAGTTGCTTTACGTATGCGAACATTTCGGCGAGCTCTTCAGAAACACGAGTATTCCATCTTCAGCTCGATCTCTTATGGATCTTGAAGCTGTCAAGAACGACTATTTGAGTAATTTCAACCTGTCGAAGTTCATGATCTTATCGTTTTGTACATATTGTGCTACTATGTTCTTTCTAATCCATTTGAAAATTTTTGCTGCTTCTGTAATATTACATTTTCATATTATGTGAGTTTGCTCAACTGGGTTATGTAACTTTGTTTTGTTACGCTGAAAAATGGGATTCGCCGGTGATCCTATTCAAACAGTAAAATATCCATTCATTCAAAACAATCATGACTAACAACGTATCTATCTAACAAAAGAATAGCAAGTTTGTAACCACTAGAATGTCGGTTTTCCTTACATTTACATTACGGGGCCAATTCCATCCCATTTGTTTTCACGGAATTAATAATTTGGGCGCTAAACTTCATTTTCACATTATCAAACACGAGAGTCTTATTTTTAAAGGCAGAATCAACTGCAGGTATGTTACAAGTAGGGTGTCTCTATTCTCCTGTTTCCTTCCACAGGTTTACGTTTATCAGAGAGGTACTCATTCATCAACCTCGGAAGTTGGAAAGACGAGTAACCATGGCCGGTGCTTGAACCCAGAAACTGTCGGTTCTAAGTCTGACGGTTTACCGATCGAGTATTTCCATGCTCAAAGGGCTTCATGGTAAAGACAAAGAACCACCAGCCCAGCAGAGCAAGCAGAAGATGAAGAGATAGGGCAGTTCGATGAGGATCTGGAAACCATAATGCAAGACGTACACTTGCACAATCGTCCAATGAGAGATCAACGTCACAGAAGGAAAGGAAACAACGGAGGAACGTTTCATTAGCCGTTTAGGAAGTGGAGAGCGAAACAAACGCGGTTATCGCCTCGTAGCGTTTGCCTAAAGTACCGCCTCCGCAACATTAATACCACATTTGAAAAAGTTGAGAAGCAGTACCGCCTCCACAAATTGTACCACCTCACAGTCACAATCGATGTCGCTAAAGAAGATCGGTTAGTCGGATTCAAAGACCACCGGCCATTGGACAAATATTCAATCCTAAAGATTTTTTAGACAAACTTCTTCGGATGAACCTCACAACAGACGTCATCAGAGGCATCGATGCTGAATACCAGTACCGCGTCGATACCACTGAAACTACCATTCGATCATCCAGCTAGGCAGAAATCTTGGCGAGGAAACAACGCACCAGCCTTGTCACCGGGTAACCTTTGACAAGCAGAGACAAAATTTAGGCTAATTGGCAAGCTAGACGATGAGTACACTGCGCTGTGCGAAGAAATACGGAAAAAGATTCCGTATAGGATTCACTGTCGGATACAGATTCAGTATAGGAAAACAAAGCCAAGAGAGACCGCATTAATGAAGAATGGCTTAAAGGCCACGGAAAAGCAACTTCCGGTAGCACTCAAGGACGAAAGAAGAACAAGACCACAGATCGTTGTCGCTTGAAGATACTCAGCATGAAGTTCTAAATGGGTGGGTAAACCGGAATGTGCTGCAACCTCCCCTCGATGGGTGGGTAAACCGGAATGTGCTGCACAAATCCCCAGCAGACATCAACTGGGACGAAACAGAGCGGAGACAATGAAGAATATCAACAGTCGAGGAGGACGGCATAAAACCAGAAAACTCCAAGTCAGGAGGAATTACCCGATTTGAATGGCGTGTTTAACATCAAGACGCTGATGATTACAGGTTATGCGAACACAGACGGGCATTTCTTTCCAATGAGGCACTTGAATTTATTCTGAGAATTCATTATATCGCACACGATTAGTTGAAAAGATGATCATAAACATGACTATTCACAACTGCCAAATAGTGAAGCTGCAGTACTTCCGACGCCTCGATCACAATCCAAGAGTCTCAAGAAAAACTACTATTCAAGACACCGTTCGTGAAAGAAAGCCGAAAGAACAGCCAAAGTAATAATGGATTAACACTTTAGCTGAACGAAGCCTGAAACTGTAAACGTCTTCATTCACATGGCAGAGAACAACCAACAGTGAAGAAAGGTAGTTCGAAATTGCTACATAGAGACCCACGTGGTTCAGACCACAAAGCGAAATGATGAAGATTTAATTAACCTCTTCTGACTGAATGCCTGCAATCTGCAAATCAAAACTCTGCGAAGAGTCAGTGCTGAATTTAGCACCGGCGCTGTCAGGAGCCCTTGCTATGGCACCGAAAAATATGCTTTTATGAGCCACTGTTTCACAGAATTTAAATAGTTCAGCTTGTTTAAAACTGTTAGTACATTTTCAGCACAGGCAATCCCAGGATAAGTTCCTGACTTTATTATTCACAGGGTTATGATTTAAAGACGAAAAAATTCTAACCAAAACATTAAAATACATTATAGTAAACATTAAGTGACAGAACAACAATAACATTCAACAATTCAAAATGTAGAAATCTTAGCAAAATTAGATACCGATGAATGATACGTGTGAGTGGAAAAGCTGGCTTCACGAAAAGGTGATCACAGCACAACAAAAAGTTACTGCCTGACTAGTAACATCCAATGTAACATATTAAACGACTAACGCACCACGACTCGATTTTAGTTCTGCAAAACGCAGGTTAAGCCGGTAGCAAATAAAATTATGAATTCATTTCTTTAGCTTGTCAAAAAGTATGGCACAGTCTCGATCTTTCACGTCATTAATCATAAACGCACCTTCCATGAGATCTGACCAAGATACCTGGTCGAATTTCAGTCCCGTTTCACCGTGAATTTTTTCACAACAGTCTGCTAGTGAATTTATCTGCAACACGGTAAATATTAAAAAAATGTGAACAGACCAAAGTTGTGCACATACACTCGTACACACAGTAACGATGTGGCTAGAGTCCAGCAAACTTTCTTCGAAAAACCATTCGCTGTTCAAAATGCCATCTAACCACAGTCGAGTATCCGTCACCGCGTTATCCATGGCCAGCGATTTGGAAGAAGTCGCGAAATCGATCATTGACAATTTGCTGTGAATTCCGACGCCAAGCGCTTTAATGTAGCTTTCTTTGAGACACTACATAATACAGTCATGCATTAAATGAAGGACAAATGGAGACAGAGTTGCAAGTGCACTAAAAGATGTCATAAAACACAACAAGATAAAACGTTTTAACAGATAATGGTTTTTGCTCTCCGATCCAGAATTCAGACAAGGACGATGTGAAATCCTTTATTTACCAACGAGCATCGACACCTCACACTAGCACTATTCTTAATTGCTGCTTCGAACTGGATCGGAAAACTGCAGTCATGCTGCTGTTTTATGCTGCATGGTTGAAATGAATGGGTTATATTCAGACAGTTTGTCAAACAGGGTCACCTTACTTTTTGTAACCCCCTGTTCTTTTAAGAAGAAAAAGACAGAGCAATTCGTTATATAAACTTGCAATTTAACCATCATCATGAATCGTGCGTATTGTACGCTAAGTGGTCATCGTCCACAGGCTATCGTTAGAAACATGGACAATCTTCTTATCTAACTTTAATCGGCTGGTACTGTCGCTAGGACTGATAGAAATGCGACATATATGAATCATGCATTGATATTTGCGAAGGCCGTCACCTGCACGAAAAGTGCTAAAATGTTGACCAAGAAAATGATTAATAAGCGCAAGAGATAATGGACATTATTGGAAAACGGCAGTTTCCATGGAGTTGTCTCTGACGCAATTTAATCGGAAGAACTTGGTTGCTCAGTTGCTAGGGTCAGACTTGTAGCAGAAAAATCACGAATTCAAATCATGGACATATCATTATCATTTCGCTCTTTCAACACATAAATGAGAACCACCATCTGGAAAGAAAGAGAAAGACTACATTTGTAATCGCTGCCAAAATGCAAATAATGCCTTCAAAAATAAGATAATTGTGACTGCTGGCAACAAAATGGAGAAAATCGCTGTATTGAAAATTCCAGAAGAAACGATGCCATTAAAGGCACCGCTGAGAGAATCCAAGTTTAACGGAGACCGATCATCTAACGGTTACACACTGTTCCTTTATTTCTCTCGGAGGCAACGGCTTGAACGAGTTTGCTGAGGCCAAGTTGACAATGCTGTTATACCGCTGCATGACCACTTGACCATGGAACGTGTTACTCGGTAACTGTCAGCAGCCACTCGATGCCTCCATTCAAATCGATTTAAGGTTTGGCGTCGCCGTGAATCTCA